AGAATGCGGAAACTTTGCTCTAACTCCGCTTATCATACGCTTTCCATGGTCTCCTTCGCTCATTTACATGCCAAAGCTGCCGCTGACTTGTATCAGTTTCTTACCGCTAGGCCTCTAGAAACTGAGTGATGGAAAGTGAGCTTGAAAACAATCCGAAGAAGCTTTTCGAAGTGCCCTTCTCCTAGTGTTGGCATTCTTTCGCCTACTCCCATTCCAACTAGCTAACCTTGAGCAGTGCTCACATCTCCCAACTTTTGGCAGACGTGAGCACTGCGCACTTATTTGGGCACTGGGCGACTTCAAAAGATTTTTGGGCTTGCAACCTCGAGCAGAAACCCAGACCCCAAACTGATTGTGCCCATTTCGGAGGCTTTGAGGCAGTACCAAAGTCTGCGGCGAACAAAGAGAAACAGACATATACAACTGGTTGGTTGTGGATGGAAAGGCTCCCGATATTTCAGTAATAGGGATTCTTAAGCGCTGCGCGCTACACAACCTATCATGCACATTTTTTGCCAAATGCTTTTTTTCTAGAGGTTCTTGTTCACGTCTGACTGAATAAATTCGCCCTAAGTGTTTACAGAGTTAATCACATCAAGTCTGTTCAGATTGTCTTCAAGGTTCTCTGGCTCTTGAAACTGATGGACAGCTCTAACCATTCACTCGCGCGCCGATTGTCGTTCGAAAGCACAACGACCAGCGAATTCGAAATAGTTCCTCGTGAGCGTTCCTCGTCTGGCAGTACCGTAGGAGGTATGATTTTCTTACACGTTGCTTTTTATTGGGTGCATGTAGCAGAATGATAGCTTAAGAGTTTAAGGTAGCTACTGCAAAGAGTTATCGGAGTCTTCTTCGCCGTCACCAGCAGCAGCTTCGTTCAACGTTCCCGATTTGTTCATAGCAAATAGTTCCTCCGATCACAGCCCACCGCAATGGTATTTCCTTATGCTTTTTTAATCTGGCTTTAAAGAGTAACTCAATATATTTTTTTAGCGATGACACAGCTCCGAAACCAGCGTCTCCCAACGGAGAAGCCAGCATCCGCCCATTTACTAACACTGCATCTCAGGCTTCTGGTACTCTTCTTTCTTAGTGAGCTTTTTTGAGGCACAAGTACGCTTACATCTGTGGTGTATCATTTCGTAGGGTAAGGTAACCAGGTCCCTAACCTCAGAATTGTAGCAATATCCTTCTTGTACACGAAAAAGCTCACTATTGTTAGGCTAATATCTCTTTCAAGTGCATATGCTTACCACTGAAAACGAGCTTGGTGTTTTTGAGTGCGAGATGCCCTTTATTGGTCCGCCCACTAGTCCCGATGCATGAGCGCACGGACGGGCCGGTTTATTAGCCAAACACTGGTTTCTCGCTTGTTTGGGCTTTTTGAAGCGACCATATCGCCGTGGAGATGCGCGTAGATGTGCAGTGTCAAGCTGAAAGTAACAACTATAGGGGGCAGGTAGCCAACGTGAGGTGTCGAGAACATGAACAGGGGTAGCAAGCAGGTTCCGATTTTGGTCGGATAGCTTTTTACGACCCCACCTTTCTGCAGGGCCTGATATGTATAAGCAGTCTGCGACGTACATGTTCAGCGCGTACATACTAGCTATAACACAGTAAAATTCATAAAAACCAGCTACCACAATGTGCCGGGGTGCGCGTTCGTACACGGTGAACCAACATAATTCCTAGCAGAAATACGACCCCCCCTCCCGCAAAAGGACCAATTAGAAGAGAAAATCAACTAGAAAACATAAAATTTTTCCCCAACCAAGTACGACCCCCCGGTCTTTTTGGAGGCCAAATACGACCCCTACCATAGGCAATTCCCCAACCACATATGCTGTGCCTGGAACTGAAGCGCGTTGCATGTTTGGCGCATATCTGGAACCATTGCATAACCGTTTGCTGCCTGTGCTATTCTCGGTCTTCGCCGACTCCAATTGCTTCGCGAGACCTGAGGAGATACCACCTTAAACCCTATCTCTATTAGCTTCAGTTTCCGCGCATTTTCTGAAGACGAATAACGGTATTCTCCTACTGCTGCCCACCTCGCACATGGAAAAGATGCACCTCGCATGTAATCGGCTGGTGTGTCTTCAGCTTTGAGCTGAAAATAGAAGTTTATACTTGGCATACCTCAGGCTTCTACGGATGCTTGTACTACTGAGCACAATGGCTAGGGAATCTGCGGGCATGCTTGAGCAGGTCTTCCATGAGCTTTTCACTATCAAACAACGAAATTCCATGGTAAGTCGTTCTGAATCTTGTTCGCGAGCGCTTCTTTGCATAGTCTTACAACAACAAACACATTTCATTGAGCTCGAAAGAATGGCCCAACAATCGCATGAGTGGAGAACCGCGACAGAACAGTTAGAGAAGGAGACTAAAATACTGCACAAAACTGTGAAGGCGTGCAAGAACCGTGTAGGTACCGTATGAACTTTTGGTAGATTGCTGTTCTCAATAGACATTGCTACAGGAAGAAAAACTAGAGGAAGAAGTGAAGCAGCTTCGTCAGGAGAAAGAAGAGTTGATTAGTCAAATGAATACGCCAAAGGTGAGAAAATTTCAGACACGTGTTAGCACCATTCACTCTTTGAAGACCCTTCTCAGAAGTTGCACTAGCCTTTTCGAACTTTGTCGCCGAGGGTCGACAGAGTGCCACCTGTGCTCGCTTGAAATTGTTTTTGTCAGCCTACAGACGAATCGAAGGAAATGATACGCAATTACCGTGAGCGCCAGGCGTTTCAGTCTAAGCGGATGTTAAAACAGTATTGAAGATAGGCCGCCGCCCCTCCTGCAAACAGGGGACGTCCTGCCAAAAAGCGCATGGCAAAATTTTCAAGAGCTACGTCCTCCCCTCCCTCTATCCCATCCTACAACTTTTCGCAGCCTACTACCCGCATTTTCCAAAATTACTCAAGACTCCAGTTTCTTTCCCAAAATCGGTTCTGGCAGGGCACATCATTGGTTGGGCATTTTAGTCGAGTCCGTACGATCCTCCCC